TGAACTTAACAATGGAAACAATCGTTTTTGTGAAAAATTGAATTGTATTGTTGACATCAAAACTAAAAATATTGTGTTTCAACTTAACAATACTACCTTAATTTATACTTTAAAATTGCCTCGGAGAAATTTGAATTGTTAGCAGTGACTTAAACAAAAAGTTTTATTTTAACTGACAAATACTATATTATAATTTCAACTTTTTCTATGATTATACTCATTTTGTTACTCTTTTCTTTGTTTCTTACACATTTTAAATTTTTGTGATAAAATAAAAAACTTATAGTTGTTCTGCTTCTGAAAACTGATGAAAACACAAAAAGATGAGCTTCATCAACAATCAAAAATATATACATTTATTTTACAAATTCCATATTATTAGGGTTGCGCCCTTCAGAGAATTAAAAATACAAAATTATCTTCATCAAAGCCGATGCTTTACATCCGGCTTTCGTTGGCAGACCACTATTTCATATTGTTTTACAACACATGGCCTTAGCCCTTTGGTGGGAAAGACTTTGAAACAAAACTTACAATAGTTACTTTTCTCAACAACTGAAATTTAGAATAGTGTGATTAAGAAAAATATGTGAATATTTTCAGATTAATATTGAAATGTACAGGTTTAGAATTTTCTACAGTGAAAAGATTTTGGAACATCAGTATTCAAAAAAGTATGCAAAAGCTAGACGTTAAAAACGTATCCAATGAGCGAGCAAAGCGAGCTTTGGATTGCGAAGCAATCCGAAATGAACTGCGAAGGCAGTTCCGAGGGTTGGCGAGTGCCAGCGAGCAGGGGGCGAAGCCTCCTAGTTTAGTGAAATTAAAAATCCATTATTGAAGAAAAAAAATACTCATTACATTTTTTTTATAATGCAATGAAAAATGTGGTATATTGAGATTGTAAAAAATGATTATAGATTATAATTATGGAAATTGGAGCATTATTTAGTGAAAGTAATAATCCATTATTAATGACAAAAAAATACTCATTAAATTTTTTTTCAATGCGAAACACCTTTTAACAATACTCTTTTTGAAATTTGATTAGTTATCTCTCTATATAAAATTCATAATGACTGCCGACGCAGCCACTTGAGTGTTCAACTAAATGTTACATTTTGTTTTGCTGGGCAAAAACTATAAAACTTAAACTTGAACTTGCTAAAGTGTGTAGGAAAATTTTCACAAAGTGCAATGAGAAATTGAATTAACATCTGATATTTTGCTTGGGAATTATAAACTGTTAAACTCGTCATAAAAAATACCATGATGACCACTATGCAGACTACAAAAATGCAACTATAGAGTTGAAGTAATTTGGTACGCTGAAAAGGATATATTTTCATTAACTTTACGCAATTTTTTTCAGAGATTCTAGTTTGTTTGAAAGTTATAGACATTTTAAGTGCTGTTTTTACGTTTTCTCACTTCTTATTCTGCTTTACGTACACAAAACTTGAATTTACGAAGATATGTAAGTGAAAAAAAAGTATAGGAAGTACAATAAAAAAAAAAAAAAGTTAAATTTCAGCTATCAGTTCGAGAATCTTTGAATGCTAAACACATTGGGAAAAAAATGTTTGTTTGAGCTGTAGCCTGTTCATCATAATCTTCCAACTCACTCTAAACTTGGGTCTACAATTATAGTTCTTAAGGTCTGTTTAGACCATCCAAGTTCTTGGACAAGGATTGATAGAAACTTGTTTTGCTTTGAGCTTGGATCGTGTAAGCGATCATGCAAGAACTTGGTCCAAGTCCTTGGACGATAGTAGAGCATGTTCTACTTTCCATCCAAGTTTTTTCTCTCTTAACCAAACAGCGTCTTAGGTTTTGTGACGTCAACAAGCAGACATCAGATTACGTCATTTTGTTGTCTGTTTTCATATATTTTAGTCCAAAAAAAATTTATCTGTTACGGTTTATCTGTGTTTTTATGATTTTATTTGAATTTATTTAGTACTTTTAAACTTATGTAAGCATTATTTTATAATGTTGAGCAATGCGCATGCACAAGTTTTTCCTTCGACCAATCAGTGACATTCAAGAACTTGGATAGTGTCGACGAATCATCCAATTCCTTGGACAAAGAAATCCCTCCCATTTCTCGGATTCAAGAACTTGGACCGTGTAAACAGGCCTTTAGAGCATCCTACTACAGGAACACAGGTCCTTGGCTGGAATCCTGCTGGCAGCCAATGATCATCTCTCTCACACATTTCTCCCTCCGTATTATCAACTTAGCATATAGGTAGGTATTTCATTATAATAAATCATTTTGAATGTACCTGTTGTAACTTCTTTTCCGTGATAAGCGCAAGGGTTTCCATTTTCAAATGTAGGCTTCTGTGAATTGGAAGTTCTGGAAATATAAAATTGGTACAAAATGTCATAATTAAAACACTTAAAAACCTAATTTCCATTAAATACTTTTAAAAATATCGAATGAAAACATTTCATATAAACTTATGTCCATAATTGACTAATAATTTGAAAAAAAATGATAAAAAATGGAGAAAGAAATGTATGATTTTCTGTCATCTTCTTATGAGACAAAACACAACAGAAAAATTTACGTTGGTGCCTGTTAATTTTGTCCTAAGACTGAGACTCCAGTCTTTTGCAAAGTTGGATTATCAGTAAAATGTTTTTTTTCCCTTTAACTTTTTTTAAGGTTAATAGTGCAACTTGTTGACTAAGTTTGAGAAAACACATTGCTTGGTTTGAGAAAACACATTTCTAAAGCAAAATGCAGTCTATTTATCTCTAAGTTTTTAAATATTTTTAAACAGTAATTCTTCAGGTACTTTGCAATTTTCGGATTCATTTGCCGAACAGAGCAAACAATAGGGCTCTTTCTGTTTTTTAATTGATTTTTCAGGTTATTAGCCAGTTTTGGGACACTTGTCTCTCATTTAATGAATATTGCAAGAAGGTGAATTTTTTTGGAGCACTAGATACATGATATTAACACAATCCATAAGCTGAACACTTGTATGTTTATAAAATAGGAAAGTAGTAAAATGTTTTAAAATATGAAATACTCTCATAATCTGAATTCGATTATATAAAGAAAATATTATTCACAAAATTAGCATAACATTTAATTTGCCTTATGTTAGCAGGCTTGAATCGATTAACGTATTTACGTTTAATATAGCATTCAAATTTTTACTAAGAGTCAATCTTTAATGAACAAGAAAGTAAATTTTTAAATCACACTTATCATTTCAACGGTACTTTTAATAATCTTATCTTACATATCTACTTTGTTGAGATTTTAACTTGAATAAGAAACTCAGTCATCCTTCTATAATAATACTTTTTAATTGAAAAAATTCCTGTTCAAATTATGGTATAAAGTACGGTACTTTGGGTACATTATCGTTATTATCTATTTTTACTGTAAAATATTATACGTAATTTTTACAGTAATATTTATTTAATCAGAGTTATTTATTTAGTGTTTTTACTGCTGCTATTTCAGTAAAAGTTATGGTATATCAAGTTTCCAGTTCTGTAACATGTTTTGATAAAGATGAATTTTATGGTAAAAAAAAACCGGCATCCTGAGTGTCGGTACTATTTACCATAATTTGATTCGGCATTTACACTGACATTTACAGCATTCCTTTTAAGTGATAAGCTGGATTTTCTAATATTATTTATCTTTTAAACCGAAATTTGATTCTATTTTCTTTATCATATTTTAACGATAGGTTGCGTTTTTGAATAATATTTATCTCTTAGCGATGAGTTGGGATTTCTAATCATACTTATCATTTAATAATCTTATAAGTATTTGATTTTCCTATAATCATTAGATACATTAAGAGCATAAAGGTCTTTTAATACACTTTAGTACGTATTTCTCCTAATTATTTATTAAGTACATGTATGATAGTTTAAAATATTTCATAGTTGCATCTCGAAAGCATTTGTTAAAAAACATCTGGGAAAATTACTGCAAAAATCAACGTAACTTAAAGAACTTGGCAATTCTAATAGATAATCATCTTTTCAACATCTTCTTTTTAATTAGATAATTTTGTTTTCTGTGTCTCACTGATCCATTTCAAGAAAGTCAAATTGTAAAGTGACTGCTCTAAACTTAAACAATATAGAGGAACTTTTTTTTCTGTGTTATAAAAAAGAAAATATATTGATACTGGGATACTTCCGTCAGTGATGCCTTCTTTCAGTGACTCCATTACTGCTGCTATTACCATGTGGCATTTCCGAGAAATCGTTGGATAATCTAATAATACTTATCTTCTGGCGATAAGTTGTTTTTTTAAATCATACTTATCACGTAAGAGATAAGTAATAGATTTTCATTTTATATTTAAAAATTAAGCAGGACTCATAACTTTAAGGTTTGTTAATTTATTCATAAAAACGCTGATTATTTTATTTGAACTATTTATTATATTTATGTATGGTTGTATGAAAAAAATTGTGTGTCTATAAAACTCCACAATTTTCCACTCCAGATTTTGCGTTGGTATTTCAATACCAACGCAAAATCTTACATAAAATAAGACAATACAAACAAAATCTTCTTCATCGTCATTGGGTATTCGAAATTTTTTCCTTTAATCGACTCACCGATTTATTTCAAGAAAGTCCAATTTTAAAGCAACTTCTGTAAAATCAAGCTATATATATAGCAGAGAAACATCTTGTTGTGTGTGATAAGGAAGCGAATATTTCTTCTGGGCTACTTCCTTCAGCCACGTACTTACATTCATAGCCGTAGAAGATTCACTCACGTCTTTATTCAGAGCCACCAATTCTTTTCACAAGTGTTCTTGTTGGGAGAAATCGAAACGAATAGTGTAGGAGAATTTATCAGGAAAATTGAGTCAAATATTTCAGGGGGATTTTCGACGGATAAAAATGAGATCACATACTTCGTTTCGAAAGATTTCAGCTGAATTGGAAAAGTGGTAGGTAAAGCTAGGGAGAAGCATAAAGTAGTAGCGCCAAATGCCAAGTAAGAAAAAAGGTCGAATGCCTTTGCAAAAAAAAATGCGCCAAGTGTGTATTTCCCTAGGTATTTCTCTTCTAACTCAACTTCACTTTCGTTTTTGTTACTTTTACTGAACATTCTGAATTTAGAAATATGTTAAAATTTATAGAGAAGGTAAATTAGGTTTGGTTAGTCTTTGAGATTATTTTAAGTATATGCCTAAAGAAAATGGTATACATCGAATTACGTTTAAGAGTTTTCGATGCAGTTTTAAGCGAGATTTAAAACTTTATTTTGTGATATAAGTACTTTAATTTAGTTTCATTTTTGCACAATTTAAGCTGTATAGCTAAAAAAAAAAGATTATTTATATTGAGAAACAAATTTCATGTTGTATTTATACAAATATTTGATCTTGCATAAATCAGGTGAAGGGATTAATTTATAAACTAATTTTGCTCTTTAAGCTGCAGAATTCTTCTGAAATGGCATTTTTGTCGAAATTTACTAGCTTAAAAACGTTATACGTAGCAGAAAGTCATGTAAATGTTGCGACCAACTTCTTGGGGAGTAAGGGTCATCATCTTCATAATAGTTGTTTAGGAAGTTATCATCTTCATAAAAGTTATTTAGAAACCCAATGCCCGGAAATGTCGTAGTACGCCGCTATCTCTTAGTACGCTTCTGAACAGGCCATAATAGGAAAGCGGCCCTAGCTGCGTATGACCACATTTTTGGGCATGGTATCTCAATCAATTTTAATCTCAAAGATGTTCTCTATCTCCCCTAGATGTTTGCTGGCTGTCACATTTTTGTGACACAACTTGCGAAAAGTGTACATTTTCAAAAAAAAAAAAAAAAAAAATAGACAAAAAATGTCATTAAATACTGTAGCTTGGAGAGATGAACTGATTGCATATTAAAAATAACCGATATGAAAATATATAAGATTTGTTTAAAATCATTGAGCAGAAAACAGAAAAAAATGTTACCAAGTGTTATTCCATATCTTTTAAATTATTTCCTTAATAAACCCATTTAATATTCTTTTTTCAATCACAGCAAATATTTTAATACAATATGTATGCACGAGAAATGAGCTGTAAAATACATTAAATATTTGCATTGCCTTCAGATATTTCGAGATCTTTCAACTAATCGTATTCAATTTGCATTTCAAAATAGGTTTCTATGTTTCTGGTCTAACTTTCCTCTAAAATAATTCCTATTGTTCCAATATAGTTTTTGTATTTTCATCGTTAAAATATAAATCTGTGAACCCATTTTGTATCTTAATTTTTACAAGGGTTCTAAAAGCAATAATAAAGAGCAGTGATAATGGCAATCATTATCATAAAATAAAATGATTACGGGTTAATTTTTTTCAAAATTTTGGAATTTAGCTGATTTATTTTACTGATTTTTTTTAAAAACTAAATTTGCTTTTTCATTTTAGGTTTTAGAGTATAATATACTAACATTTACCATCAATGTTTTGTACAAATATATTTTATACAATATTTTGCAAATTTAAGTTGTTAAAAGATTTAAAAGGCATCATATTACTTACTTCTGAATCATTTCGTGTCTAGTTGAAGCCGCTAAAAGAATTTTAAAGTGTTACACAATAATTTAAAATAAAAAAAAACATTTGTAAGCCTAATGAAAGATAATTGCAATACAATTTTATAGTTAAAAGAAAATTGGAAAACGAATCAAATGATTCTGATATCATGCATTAACAAATATGTCTTACGTCAAGTACGTATATTTTATTGATAAATATTTAAATACACGCAGAGAAAAAAATATTGCTAAGACTAACGTAATGCATGGTAACTGCATTTTTGAATAAACAAACATCATTCTGGTAAATTGTATTTCCAAATTAAATAAAGAGTAAAATTTATTTCCTAAATTATGGATTTTCCATAATTTTGAAGATTAAAATATGCGGTTTTAAAACTATTTATTTAGCATTTTGTTTCGTTCATATGCTAACAGTTCACCTGAAAATCTGGTTTACAAGGTTTAAGATTTTATTATCACTCATTTAATAAAAATACAAAACTAAAAGTGAATTTAAGCGAATAAATAGTTTCTATTTTATGCTCTAAGGCATCATGATAAAATTACCAAAGTCTATCACATTATCCAAATCTTTTCGCATATTGTACATACCCTATTTTATTGCTAATTTTATCAAATTCATTACCAAATTGCTTTGGTAAATTACTCAGCATTTTGGTGTTCCCATAGAGCCAGAAGCACGATGAAATTTACCAAATTCTGGTAGTTTTAAGCATCCTTTTTTGTCTATGTACAGTTTTTGAAACAAAGATAAGTCTGATTTAAACTTAAAGATACAATGTCTAAAATCTAGGTAACAAAGACTAGAGAATTTTTTTAACAATATTAAATACTTATTAAAGCTTTGGTTATATAAATTTAAACTTAATGATAAAAACTAATCATGTTATCTCAAAAAAGCAGCATTATTGTGTTTTTGCTTTACCTCAAACTTTCCGTAAATATTTGCAAGTTAAAATTGTAAATTTTTTTACAGATTAAGAAAATAAAGCATGAAAATGTTAATAAAAATAAAATAATACAGTTTCATATAAATTGAAAATTAAGCACTAAAATGCTTTTCTCCGGATAAAACCCTCATTTCCTTATTTTTTTTTAAACTTTATAAAATACTTCTACAATAAAACGAATTAGTGATTTTTTAAAAATAGATATAAAGATTACCTTATATTTTTATATTTTTCTGAAATCACTAAATGAAAGTTGGAAAATAAATAGTTGATGCACAGTAAATTTGGAATTCAGGACAACTTTTAAAGGTTCCTCATACTCAAATCAAATATTTAAGCAAAAATCTGCCATGTGCTTCGTCATAAAAAGTAAAATTTTCAGACAATATATATTCCGGCATTACATTACACAACATATCTCACTGATTACTGAAATGAAATAACAATCAATATCCTTTCAATATTAAAGTTTAACATGTTCCAAAGACTGCATATTGTTATTTACTCCGTAAAACGTGCACATTTTCGCTTTTCGGCAACTATTAACTAAAACATCGATAGTTCATTTCTGAAATTCTTTTTTATTTTAATTCAGCAATTTCAACTTTTTAGACATTTTTCAATTCAGCAATTTTATTTTTATTCAGCAGTTTTGATTAATGAAACATTTCTTAAACGAAAATAGTGTATGGAATAACTTCACTAACAAGATTGTATTTCTTAATTCAAATTAACGACATTTTTTAACAATAAATAAATATGAAATAAAGTAAAGTAAAGTAAAAAAATAAAATAAGTTTTAAAGTAAACTAAGAACTTGAATTTGAGCTGTGTTTAGATTCTATACGATTGAAGCAACTCAGTTAAAAAGTGTTAAAACTGAAGCTTGTTTAATAAAACTATTAGTTGGAAGTAATTGGTGCGAATTTTTCTTCCAACTTAGAACAATTGGGAAATTGTTTTTCAATCCATTTCTTGTGATGTGTGTAGACAGGGTAGTCCATAATCATTGCCATTTTAATTAATATACAGATTCATTGCAAAAACCGAAGTTTGCATATCATGGATTCCCAATTTAATTTAAGGCAAAAATATTATGTCTTTTATAATCTGACTAATAACTATAAATAAAGATGGGATTAAACATTAAAAAACTTTTGATGTCTTGAAAAATTTCGAAGATAATTATGATAATTATCCTTCACATCATGATTACTCTCTGATAAGTCGTGAATTACTTCCTAATTAATTATAAATTACTTTTGGCAATCAAGCAGTTTATGATGTTATTAATACTGCTTCTCATAAATAGTGACTCTTTAATATTCTTTAAAGTATTTCTGCTTTTTTTTAAATATTTAATTTAAAATAATGATAATTATCTCATACATGTGAGTTTTAATTTAATGTCTACAAAATATCAGAATAATAATATTGTGGGTGGTGACTATGGAATTCTGTATAATAGATTAAATTCTAATTAACTAATAAACTATGAATATTTTAGTTTGAAAAAGCAAAGATAAAGTTTAATAAATGCAAATGTATAGGCATACCTTCTCTAGTTGGACTCCTTGCTTTATTCTTAAAAACTGTAACAAGTGCAGCTGCAGCCAGAAGCGCTAATGTTCCAACTGCCGCTAATGAAACCAATAAAACAATTCCAATAATACTCCGGTTCTTTTCCTCTGTTGGTTAAATGAAAATACTTTTAGAATTTTTATTTTCATGCACTTTTTTCTTCGAAAATCATATACCAGATAAAATATAACATCAGAGATAGTTAAACATCTAATTCTAAGCATTTATTATCTACACTATATGTTGAATTTATACAACTTAAATTTCTTTGGAATACTTTAATAACTTTATTTCCAGGGATTAGACTGTCATATATTAAAATGCAATCTTAAAAGTTCGATAAGATCAAAGTAAATATACTAAATAATTTGCACAGGTAAATGCTTTAAGTTAGGAAATCGAGCTCAAAGAGGTACTTTCTATGAAAAAAAACAGCGCTTCTGGATTTTGACCCTTAAAATGAAATAATTAGTAGCAATTTGGGAAATATGGTACTAAAATTTTTACAAGAGAATGTTCAGAAGTTACCCTTAGGGGCACCCTTAACGTTAATTTTATTTTTTGTGTATTTCATCACATTCCTCTCAAATTATTTAAGCAAATAACTAACTTTTGAATACAGTTGTAAACCTGGTTTATTCAAAGATAATTTTATGCGAACGTTATTTTTTTATTTTAATTTATCAATGGTTAAAAAATCTCAATTCAAATAGGAGTGAATTTGTACATAATTTAAAACGACAAAATTTGACAAAATGAAAAGAATCAGTCGACAAGTTCATAAAAAATACAGCTTCTTTAATATGAAGAAATTCGTAAAAAAGGGAAATTAATATTAAGGAGACGAAATTTTTGACTGCATGTCTGACGAAACTTAAAAAATCATATTTAGCAGATTACGGCTGCCTTAGAAAAATAAATTTATAATTTATTTACAGAATGTACATTTTTAGCCTGATTTTATACTTTAAAATATCGTCCTTAAAAATGTATTAGCATTTTTAAATTGAACCTCAGAAGGAGACAAAAAAATAATTAGATCAAAAGTTATTACGATGTTTCTTTTTTTTAAATTTTATGAGGCTGTACATTACAAAAAATTAAAAATATTTGTCCTGAATTACTTTTAAGCTAATAATTAATTTTTACGTACTAAAATACAGTCCCCTGAATGTAAAGAATCTAACTTGCTAGGTATTTACTACAACGATTGAAATCTATGAAAATATAAACTATTAATTACACAAGCAATTTCAGGTGCCGAATGTCATTTAAGTTTTACTTTTCTAATTATAAATCTTTTTCAAAACATCTTACCTATTTGCATAGCTGTGGAATAAAGAGTTGCGGCTGTTAGCACCACTGTGGAACTTCTTCCTTTATTGTTCGATGAATAAATAGCAATAACAAATGCTGTTCCGGCTGGTAAGTTTCTCACTGTGAAATTCGGACTTTCATACTGGGTGATATTAGCAAGCAACAGTTCTTTCCTCATACTGTAGACTTCTAAATGGAAAGTCTGTTTCATTCCTCCATCATCTCCCACTTCGCACAAAAATGATAATGAGTTAAAAGTTTGATTCATTATGGAACAGTTCTGCAGTGATTCTGGAGGACCTAGAAGCAATAATGATATTTATGTATTTTGCCTTTTTGAAATCAATATTATTTTGATATTAACCTTTTAACAGTCATGCCCGATTTCCGTCGGAAAAAGGTATGTTTATTCAGAGAAAGTACGTTTTTGTACCTTATTTCGTAACTTAAAATATCGTCTGCAAAAATTAAAAAGCACATTTGAGGTCTCCTCCCTATGTCATTAAAATTGAGAGTCAGAACGTGAAGATCCGATCAATTAATCAAAATATACTCAAAGTGATCCGTTTTTATTGAGCACTGTACATGCACTAATAGAATTAGCAATTTGAAAAGTACATAATTCACTGCCTACCCCAAAATAGCTTATAGCTTTAAAATTTTGTTCAAATAAAAAAACGATAATTATTCGTGAAGAGCAAATTTTTTTTCTCTTGGAAACAAGAATTACTTAACTTACTTGTAAATTTGAAATAGCTATTTCATCAAGTTTGCCATAATATCTGAAAGCAAATATTTTTCTTTCATCCCTCGGGAATTTTTTTAAAAGTCTATGTAAATTAACTGAAATTGTAAGAAGTTTTTCATCATCTATCAAATGTTTTTTTCTTTTATTTTCAAGACAAATTTGACGCATTACCTTTGAAATAAGTTGCGTTTATTTTTAACCCAAACTATTTTATTCTGCTTTCGCGTCGAAAATGAATATATTAAAGAATTTAAATATTCTCGGACGTCAATAAATCATTTTCAAAATTATAACTTCAAATAGGTAAAACAAATATGCCAATTTTACGCGTAATTTCCCGACGGTATATCAAACATTTCCTGAAGACTCTAAAGACAATTTATCTCAGCTTGTCTTTTGCGGTTTAGGAAATTTTCATAAGCATATTTTTGCAAACATGAGAATTAGTCTTCTTTTAAGATTAAAAAAACAGTGTTTTAACAGGCGATATGGTTTTTTTATAGAACAATTTTAAACAGTACAAGCGTTCATTTTTTAAATGATCATAGTTCTATAGTTTTGATGCAAAAAACTCTTTTAAAATCTTTATTTAAGTGTTTAGAATTCCTCTCTATAACACTTCATAGAATCTTAAAGACTATATAAAATGACAAAATTTTCAGTGGCATCCTATTCTCTGACATGTATTTATTCCTGAATAGACGTTAGGGATGCTTAATTAGCTATGGTAATATTGTCTGTCATACTAGCTACCCTATATACAAGTATAGGTTTCGTGACAATGTTTTTTTATGCCTCCCTCCTGAAATGGAAAATATCCGCTTTAAAATAGATGTAATTGTAATTTCAAAAAACAACTACGGTACTCCTTCTCTTCGGAAGGCCGCAGTAAGAAATCTGAAATTTAGGCTTTCATCTTGAGCTATTAATTTATTGAGAGGGCATAATTTTTTTAATTGTTGCCTAGGTTGAAAAATTGTTTTAGTTTCTTATGCAGTCTTCTCCACATATTAGCAAAAACAAATAGGGCTGTTGCGTCACTGTAGGTGATTTTTTTAAGTCTTCCGAAAAAAAAATTGTAATAATAACCAATGGAACTTACACTTGCACAATAATTGATTTTAGACAAAAGGTCTATTCTTTCTTTGTTGAGCATTTTTAAGTATTCGTAACATTGCTGATTTTGGTAAAACAAAAACCAAAAAAGAGTAATGATTGAGAAGTTTAACTCACCAAACTGACTTCACATGCTTACAAACTTAACTTATTTTTTAAGCTCTGATTGTCAAAATTTACCATAATCAAACTTTTTCCTACGAATTGACCTTTAATTCTCTTTTTTTCGTTCAATTTTATAAGTTTTTCTTTTTGATGACATTACATAAGTTCAACTAACATAGGAAACCAAAGTTAAATAATTCATACAAACATGCAATAAAACTAAATTTTTTATTGATCAGAGCAGCAAATTAGCAAATTATTCCCATTCTAAAATATTAACCGACAGTCTGTGAAAAATGTTTCTAAAATGTGTTCTGAAATGTGTAGCGCATAAATCTGTAGTTTGAGGAAGATTTAAAGTAGACAATTAGGTCCATCGCTTTTTTGAGAGTATATTCAGTGTGCAAAAAAAAAATGAAGCAGTCTGGGAAATATTGCTCCAATAGTTCGGAGGATGTTCCAAAGTTTGGACCCTCTAATGCAATTTTAATTTTTGCGCATTTTGTCTCATCTAGAGAAATTTTTAAGGACATTGAAAAATGTTAGCACGCAATTATAATATAGCTTTAAGGCCGGGATAGCCAGGTTGGTTGGCCACTGGGTCCATGTCCAATAGTTCGTGGGTTCGATCCCAGCCCGCCGAATACTCCCCGTGTAGTAAATTTTGACTGATGCACGTTAAATCTGTGGAGTCGCTAAGTCCCTCAGTCTTCTGAATTGGTTCAAAATTACAAAACTACGGAGTTGAACATTAGTAATCGTAAACCCAAAATTGGGTCAGCTGTTCAACGACGGATATATAAAAAAAATCTTAGCTTTAACTAAAATGAAAACCTCAACAACTCTATTGAAATTAACTCCTCATTATCTCAAAGCAACAATTTTTTTAAATAAAATAGTATTAGAGTCACTTTATATGTGGTATAAAAATTATTTGTTTATGATTCTAAATAAGTTTTTTTCATCAAATAATCTAATAATTTAAATGCTAAATTTAATTAGTATTAAAAGCAATTTTTACATTTGTTTAAATCAGTAACCAAAAATATAAATATATATAAGTAAAAAGAAATATAAATATAAAAATACCATAATAAGGCACAATAAAATATTTATTATATTTCTTGTTAGTTAATGTAATAAAAAGTACAGTTTAAATTGCTAATTCGCTTGCCACGTAATTTAAAAAAACAAAATTATAATCGTATTAACACATCGACAGTTCTAGTTAGCGTTGTCGTGTTGAATGCTGAATCCCTTGTAAATTTTTATTTAGTCACAATATATTTAATATCAAAGAATATTTTTACTTGATTTATTTTCTAAACAGCTTATTTCATTTCACCTCTAGCTTTTGCCCCAGAAAACAAAAACATAGATTAAATTCAATAGATCGTGTGGATTGTAAAGGATCGAGATTATTTAAATATAGAGATAAACGGATTTTAAGAAGTTATCTTACAATATATCGAGAATGACATAATTTGCAATGAATCCGAAATATATAAAGCATGCGTTTCATCATTTAATTTCCCAACAATGGATTCTATGTATAGTTCGGCAACTATTAAATCGCAATTATGACAATAGCAATGATGAATATGATATACTTCTGACAGAATATTATCTATGCCGACATTTATTTTAACACAATTACATCAAGATGATTTTCAACAATACTATATATAT